TGTCAGGTCTTCTGTATTCAAGGTCAGCCCGGGCTATGTGACGGGGTGTGGGCCGTGAGGAGATCCTCAGGAGGGAAGAAATTGAGCTGGTGATCATTAAGGGAGCACAGAAAACCCAGCCACATGGAGTTAGCCATGTCAGGAAAGATGAAACATAGTCCAACCATGTAGGGACACAGGGAATAGGCCCATGCCCTTTTTCCCAGGACAGTGCCCAAATTAGTCATCTCAATCCCTGAGACCTCCCAAGCCTGGCCTCTTTCTGTTGTCTCTCCACCCGCTAGCCTTTTCCCACAGACTCTCACCTCTCTCCTATCACCATCTCCCCCAAAACTGTTTCTCTCAGCCCTGCCCACCCCTCCACCTGCTCATCCTGGAATTCAGCTGATTCAGTCTCTAGCTCTTGGCACCAAATCCTTGCCCACATGGTGCTCCCTGCCAAGCACAGCCTCCTACTGGTCACCATTTCTTCAGCTTTCACCATGATAAGATATGGAGGTGGAATGTGATTCGAGGACTTGTCACCGAAGGAGCTAGGGTTGGAGGGTGATTCAAGTGCAGAAGTCTTGGGGCAGAATGCACTTGTGCACCAGGAGGACAGCAGGGCAGTTTGTGTGACTGGAATGGTGGGAAAGTTTTTGTTTATGTTTCATTTGTGGTTTTTGAAACAGAGTCTCATATAGCCCAGGCTGGCTTTGAACTTGCTACATAGCCAAGAATGGACCTTGAACTCTTGATCTTCCTGCCTCCACCTCCCAAGAACTGGGATGATAGGAATGCAACCAGGTCTGCCGATATTTTTAAGATAAAGATGGAATCCAGGCTTTGAGCATGCCGGGAAAGGGGTCTACCTCTGAACTTCCCAGCCCTAGAAATTAGACCTTGATTTAAATGCAACAAGGGCTGTTAGACAGTGAATGAATGGATGAACATAAATGGCTTTGGTATGTCTTAGTGCAGCCATTGCTCACTATCGCCTGGTGCATTTGAAGGACTCAGTCTGTCTCCCCTCACCCAGTGGCCTGAGCTCCCAGGTTCTCTCTCAGAGACCTGTCACCTGAGCCCATTGGCAGTTGTTGTGGTGGCTGGACCTGGTGCTGACTCTGTCTTGACACCACTCCCACAGACACGCAACCAAAGGGCTCAACACAGTTATTATAAAATATTAAAATTACTCACAAAATAAATTATTCACACTCCTCATGTTCCTGCTTGCAGGTGTTTAGGGGCTAATGAGGGTTTTATTTCGGTGCAGAATGGAGATGGGTCCTCAGGAATCAGAGTCACGGGGAAGGGCCACACCTCACACCACAGGGACACTGAGGCACAGGGGAAGTCGGGCAGGCAACTGGCTCCATGACCTTCTGTCTCAACTAATCTTAGCAAACTGGTTGAAGTGGGGTGGATGAGCCGAGTTTGAGATTTCCCCTTCCCTGAGGGTGCATGTAGAAGAGCACGGAGCTTTGAGCATCAGGAAGGGACTGACAGAACACACAGACAGACTGACAGACAGACAGACTCAGGCAGAGAGGAAGTCACTGAGCTGGAATGAGTCCCAAAGGCTGAGCAGTTGGACTGTGTCAACCCAGGATTTCTCCTGCATCAGCTGGGAGCTGACTTTGGGCAGGGAAAGCCCCTTTCAAGGCCACCAGTAAGTAGGGGACACACGGGGCTTCCAGGACCCCCAGCTGTACTGCACACACTAGAGATTGGATGGAGCCCAGTCCCCAGTGGCTGCACACTGCACACCTGGGCCAGGCACAACCCTTGGCACATGGCCCCAGCCCCTCAGCATCATGGGCAGCCACTCCCTGCCACCCATGCCAGGGAGCCCTGCCCCCTCTTTACTGTTGAGTAAAGTGAGGCTGACACAAGCTCCATCTCAGAACCCAGTGCCACCAGGTGGGCCCTTCTTTGCAGTCACGTGACACTACTGTGCAATGCCCTCGGGAAGTCACACTTCCTCTCTGCCCGGTGTGTGTGTGTGTACCAGGGAGGGACTCGCTCTCACATATGACTGTGTTGTCCTTAGGCTGAGGCCACAGACCACAGGGTTTTGAGCAATTTGGGGTACAGGGCTCTCTGCTTGGGAAGCCCCTGGCTCCTCTCGCCCTACTCTCCCTCTGCGGGAACATACTCGTTCACATGGTATGCCTCCCTCTGCCACTGGCCAGCACCCTGTCACACTGGCGGTCCTACTGAACGTCACCCCATTGAGCAGGAGACAAGTCCTCATGTCACCATGTGTGGTCTGTGTCTGCAGCCTCAAGTGTCAGCCCCACACAGGGACACACTGGCCCTCCTTGTCATCCCCCAGGCTTAGGTGTTGCCCTGCCCCTGTGATGGGAACCTCATTCCCACAGACAGCAAGCAATAGTTTTGAGCAGCTCTGGTCCTGGGAAAATTCTTCTGTGAGACTCTCGGCCATCGGTGGGGGTAGGGCATGAGGCGGGAGTCCCACCCCCTCCAGCCCCCTCCAGATCTCTCCAGCCCCTCCAGCCCCCTTCTAGTCCCCCCTCCAGCCCCCTCCAATCCCTCTCCAGCTTCCCTCCAGCACCCCTCCAGTCCCCTTCTAGTCCCCCCTCCAGCCCCCTCCAGATCTCTCCAGCTTCCCTCCAGCTCCCTCCAGCCCCCTTCTAGTCCCCCCTCCAGCTTCCCTCCAGCTCCCTCCAGCTTCCCTCCAGCTCCCTCCAGCTTCCCTCCAGCTCCCTCCAGCCCCCTTCTAGCCCCCTCCAGCCCCCTCCAGCTCCCTCCAGCCCCCTTCTAGCCCCCCCTCCAGTCCTCCTTCCATATCTGGGGAGAGGTGAGCGTGATAGAGAGGTGCTGATGGCCTGGGTGGTTATTTGACTGATAAGAGGTTCTGCTGCGATGTGATGCTGGCAATGGCTGGCGAGAAGCATTTCCCACAACCTCCTGCCCCCCTCTTCCCTTCCTAAGCATTATCTAGCACATACTGTGTACCACCCCAGGGCACACAGTAGGCGCTATGAAATGCACCCAAGGCGCTCTCTCCTTCAGGACCCATCTGTCTCGGGAAGCCCACCATGTGATGAGAGGTCTCCCTCCCTCCTCCGGGCGTGGGCGGTGAGGGACTTCATCTGGTCCCCACGGCTGTCACTCAGCCCTAGTCAGAAAGGCGACAACACGGTTGCCATGGAGATGAAGAAGCACCCCCCCCCCCCCATGGAACAGATGTGTGAACCAGAACCAGGCAGAGTGACCCAGGCTGGTGAGTCAGGGCCAGGGGGTTTCTGGCTCCCTCCTCCCTGCCCATCTCTGGCTCCGGGGGGAGGGGGAGAGGCAGCTTCATGGTGCACAGTGAGTCCATGAAAACCCAGCTTTCGACCCAGAAAACCTGGCCTTTCCATACCTCAGTTCCCTCATCCAGGAAATGGGCATGAGGACCACATCTGCTTGTTCACTCCATCTCACACTGAAGAAGCTGGGCTGGATTGGACTGGGAAAGAGGCAGCGACCCCCACAGGCCTCTAAGCACTATGTCTCATCTAATCAGATTCTCTCTGCTCTCTTGTTCTGACAATGGAGAAACAGAGAGGGCAGGACACTGTCTGAATGTCACACAGCCTTCTATACTGAGCTGAAGTTCCAGGCTCTGGCTATTTATGCAAGTGACAAATATTGACTGACTACTGCTGGGAAAACTTCTGTTCCCTCCAGATCCTGGTCTGATTCCACCCCACAGTGATTAGCAGGAATATCACCATGATTGGTTCAGGGTGACCATGTGACCTGGGCCAAGCTGACCAGGAAAAGCCACAAACAGTCAAAAGATCAATTTCTGCTTCTCAGCACTGGGGAGACTGGGACAGGATGATTGCCACTACCCAGAGGCCACCACACACGACGAGGGGCACATGGTGTTGGCTCATGGAACCAGCCGGTCCTGAACACAGAAACTTCTGGAAACCCTGGCTGAGACTTCTTCGCAGGAAATAATGGTAATTATCATCCAGGTTTTAAAAACTTTGTTCTTAGCTATGTCTGTGACGGAGGCGCCCGCGAGGCCAGAGGCTCGGCACCGCAAAGATCCCATCTCAGGCTATTGTGAGCAGTCCAAGGCGGGTGTCAGGACTCGAACTCAGGGTTTCTGCAAAGAGCGTCGGGCACTCTTGACCAGGGAGCCCCTGGCACCTCAATTTTCATGTCATTGTCGCCCTTGGTCGGTCTTGGGTCACAGCCCGAGCAGACACCCTGACAGAGGCGGATACGATACCTGCCTGACTTATCAGGGCCCTTAGCACAAAATGTGAGTCTGAGCACAAGCGCCGCTCCATGTCCCCTCGTGTCCCACACCACCCACTCAGCCTGCGTTCTGCCACTGGACATGTGAGTCCCCGCTGTGTCCCACCATGCTTTCAGGCCTGGGGCGGGGGGGCGGAGGAGGTGACCCTTCTTGTTGCTGCACTGTGGGGAGAGGATGATTGACAGGATGGGAGGATTCGGATGAGCCGGAAGGAACTGGAGTGGCCGTTTGCAAGTTTTGGTATTTAGTTCATTTGAGAGTCTCACTGTGCAGCCCAGGCTGTCCTGGATCTCTCTCTGTAGACTAGGCTGGCCTCTGCCTCCTGCGTGCTGAGATTAAAGGTGTGCACCACCATCCAGCTGGAGCATCCGTGGGGAGAAGTCGGTGGGTGCGAACGTGGCCCCAGCTGGGACCTCGCAGGCCCCAGGGAGGGCTATGGAGTTACTCCATAATGAAGCCCTCTGGGGTTGCCCCAGCTAACCCTCAAGGGCTCAGATCGGTCCCCCAAGTCCCCCGCGGGGCTTTCTGACATTGGCACACACCGAGGGTGGGTTTTTATCCCAGGAGCGTAAACCCAGAGCAGGTAGCAGGAAGTGACAGGTGTCCCTGGGCCTCAGTTTCCCCATCTGAGTCAAGGCAGAGCATTGGTGTTCGTGGGGGAATGGGCTGCCCGAAGGCTGCAGGGTTGCCATGGTTACGCAGCAGGCACCCTCCCCCACACCCCCCAGCCCCTCACCCTCGGACCAAGCCTTTCCAGGGACCAGCGGCTCCCGGTGTCATGGCAACTGTTTCCCGGCACCCGCTGCGCTTCCTCATTGGCTGAGCCTGCTGCCAGCAAAGGTCAGCCCAAGGGGTCACTGCTAGGGCCGGCATCTCCCTCTGAGGTTTGGATGGGAATCTTGATTTTAACTCCTTGGCTCCCAGGAGGCCCAGGGACCGGATAAAATGGCCTCAAAGGAGAGTTTGTCTAGGGGACACTAAGCCACGCCCCCTATACCCTCAAATCTCAGACGCTCAGGAACAGTCTGGGCCCCAGGTGACCTCTCTTGCTTCTAGAACCTTTATCTGGCACTGGAGTCTGTGGAGACCGTAGGATCAGGGCTAGCCTGGGCTACTCAGCTAGACTCTGTGCTCCCCACCCCCAAAAACATCAAGATGGCCAGGGTGTGGCTCAGCAACGATGCCTTGCAAAGGCCCCGGGGCTGCACCTGATGCGGGACATCCACAATGGCCGCGTGGCCGGGGCTAGGGGTCAGCGGGGAAAAGCAGGGTCTGCGTGGTCGTGGGGTGTCACGGTGCAGACGTCATCGCTGGCCCTCCCGCCATTCTGGCTCCCTCCAGCTGCCAGCCACATGTAGCCCAGATGTTCCATCCCGGGGACATCTGTCAGGCAGCGCCATAGCAGGAGCTTGTTGCTGACAGAAAAGCCCGCAGCAGGGTTGGGGGCAGACCTGGCCCCAGAACCCAGCAACCTTCTCCCTCTGTCTTTGATTCATCCAGGTACTGAGCACCGACTGTATACCAGACCCAGTCCCAGGACCAGACAGTGAACAAAATAGCGGCAAAAGTTTCTGTCGGTGGCTGTGAGGGTCAGACAGAAAGGGAGCAAGGTGGCAGTCGCTGGATTCAGCAGCTGTGCAAAGGCCCGGGGGCGGGGGCGGGGGCGGGGGTGCGGGGGGGTGTGCCGGGGCGCTCATCACTCGCCTCCTCAGCTGTGTTTGCTCTGCCGCTTTCCCGGTGATTTACCAGGGAGCACACAGGAACCTCTCCAGTTTCTAGAGCTCTGCGATGTGTCTGCAGAACCGAGCCCAAGAGTGTGGGTCCCCGCTTTTGCTCCTGCACCCAGCAGGAGGGAACCAACCCCTGGGGGTGCATGGGCTGTTTGTGGAGATGTGTAGTAGTCAGTGAGGCCGTGACAGCCTGTGTAACAAAACCACTTTCAGATTCCAGCCACAGCGCGGGCGGCCTCCTGCTCACAGGTGCTCGCTCTCTGTCCTCTGAAGGAATTTCTAGCAAACGCTTCACTCGAAATCTTTCATGGGTTTCCAGTCAGTACAACCTAGGGAGATGGATCACTGGGTAAAGTGTGAGGGCCGAGTTCAAATCCCCAGAACCCATGTAAAAAGCTGGGTGCAGTAGACATCCAACCCCAACACTGCAGAGGAGACAGGAGGGTGAGTCCCTGGACCTCACTGGCCTGAGGAGTGAGAGACCCTCGAAATAAACCAAGGCAGGCAGATCTCTGAGCTCAAGGCTAGCCTGGTCTACATAGTGAGTTCCCGGCTAGCTAGGGCTACGCTGTGAGACCCCGTCTTAAGAAAACAGAGCAAATAAAACACCAAATAGCTCTTCTGTCTTACCAAATCCTAGCATCCCACAGTGCCCGGCTTCCATGGCCCCAGAAGCAGCAGAGAGAGACTTTCTGAGCACAATGCGACACTCTACAGCCAGGATTTGCAACTCTGGAGAACACATCCCCACTGGACATTGTCCCCAAGAACGGGCTGTGACTTCAGGCTCCCATGCTGCTCTCTAGGACCCCACCTGAGCCGGGAGACCACAGCTGCCAGGTGACCACGAACCGTATATAATGATGTGCGGGGTGACATTAAAACACTTTCCACCGTGGTCTGGACAATTAGACTTGGGGCCATATACATAAAGCCATGCTAATCACTTGGTTTGGACGATTAATGGACTTCAGGGACTGATAAACTTGAAATGTCACCAGCCTGGGGCAGGGGACAGGTGAGACCTGGTCTCAGTCCATCACATGGGTCAGCTCAAGTTCCATGGACAGAGAGGTCAACTAGCAAAGGAGATGTTTCTAGAACACCTTACCCTCCCACCCCAACTGTGACATTCTCTGAAAGCAGCCACTGGCTGCAGAAAAACAACAGGGTTGTGTGTCAATAAAACTTTATTTTTAAAAACAAGCCAGGGGCCAGATTCACCTGAGGGCTGCAGTCCTAGGTGCTGTGAGTGATGAGGGGGTTCCTGGTGGGGAAGGAACACCTGTCTGCTTTGACGAGATGTGTCAAGTAGGCAGAGAACACTCCAGATACAGGAATGTTCTGAGGTGGGAGCTGGGAAGGAAGCTGCAGGGGAGAAGAGTGGGACCCCGTGTGAGCCCCACCTCCCTCTGTGCAGCAAGTCCCACGGTCTCCTTAGCTTTTGAGGGTGAGAAAATTCTCGAAATGGGCCTGCAGCATACAGGAACACAGGAACCAGTCTCC